CGTGGACCCATTAGTAAACAAAATAAAACAACAATTAAAAGGGATCGACACAGTTGGGATGAAGGTCGTGTTGGTCTGGGTTCCCGGCCACATAGGGATAGCCGGGAACGAAGAAGTAGACAGGTCTGCCAACGAAGCAGCCAGATGACCTTACGACGATTCCTAACCTATACGCCCAGCGGATCTGAAGTTATTAATTTCAAATATGATAAAAGAAGAATGGAAAAACAGCTGGGCTCGGAAAAATATAAATAACCCTGCCAAACTGTGGCAGGTTAAGAAAGACGTCGGTCCCTGATTCACGGAAAATGGGTCAAAAAGGGATAAGGTCATACTGACAAGACTACGCATAGGTCATACAAGAATTACGCACGGGCACCTTCTAGCAGGAAAGCGACCGCATAAGAGCCCATTATGCAAGGATAGAGTAACAGTCGAGCACCTTTTCAATCGTAGAAGGCTCAACGTTTATAGGCAATATTTTGGAATATCATCGGACCTGTGCGTAGTCTTGGGGCACGGCAGCGGACTCAAATCGCTGTACCGGTACTTCACGGCTATAGGGACTTTCAAATGTATATAGTTTATGTGTGTTTTTGCTTTGCTTGAGTTGTGTTTATGTTAATATATTATGATGAATGTAATTTATTAGCGTGAAAGGAAGGAGTTATTTACCCCGCCCCGAGGCATATCGAGTACTCTCTGCGGTGAGTATGTGACGTCTGGAGAGTACAAGTAAGTTATCAGAGCGAATGGAGTGGGTTCAAACCCTGCCCGGAGGAATATCGAGTACTCTGGGAGAGTGAATGTGACCAGACTTCTATGTTTGTGGCGATATATATGTTATGAATTGTATGTTGTGTATCTATTCTTAAATTGACATTAAATTGACCTGAGGTACTAACAAGAGGCTAGCATTTTAAAATACAAGTAAAAGCAGAGAGTCAGTAACCAGATCGAGATGCTCAAATGGCTGCAATTCAATACAAAAACGCGAGAAAGACAGGAAAGAGAAAGAATACACGAGGGCCGGCGATGTGTGTGTGTGTGTGTGTGTGTGTGTGTGTGTGTGTATATATGTGTGTGTATATATGTGTGTTGTGTTATATATATATATATATATATATATATAAGATATTACAATGTATGTAATTTAAAAAGGAAATATTATTTATTTAGCATTTTACTTATTATTTATTATAGCTTAATCGTGTCAAAAAATAACTATTAGCATAATACTTAAATTTATTTATGACTTCGTTGAAAATTTAAAATTATGAAATACTCCTTGTGGTCTGCGGGGAAACGGACCTGTAATTTGGTCGTTACCGATCATGTTCAGCCTTCGCTTGGTCTGTGTATCAAAGGCGTTTTGTAACTTTCAGTACAGGGAAAAAGAGAGATACCAAAGTCTAAGAGATAAAATACAAGGCTAGAAAATATTCGTAAACATCGCCCCACAGAACCCAAAAGGGAATGTTACCTTATATATTTTGATTAATTATCGTAATATTTATTAATGCGTTACACATATAGGGGGCCGCGGTAGCCGAGTGGTTAAGGCGTCAGACTCTCGGCTATTAGATCCCGCGGTCGTAGGTTCGATCCCCACCGTCGCCTCTGGACTTTTTCTGACGCCTAAGGGGACCGGTGGCCGCAATTGAAAGAAATTGACACGGCACTCATCAATGGAAGGGACGGGATCGGATCTCAGCGACCCTGAATTTGGTCCCAACCCCCTTCAAAAATGAGTTTCTTCGATGGAAGAACACCGGTACAACGGGGGCTCAAGTTCACATTTGTGTTGCGAGCCCTCCCCCAAAATATGGAGCCGGGGATAAAGTACAATAAGCTGTACAGCTCAGCTGCAGTACTCAGGAGGGAACTCCTCCAGTCCCTGGTATCCATTGAAAAAAAAAAAAAAAAATGCGTTACACACATCAAAAAACAGATATAGTATTTTGTTGTTTATTTCAAACTAATATATTTTATAGTTATATTGATTACAACTTACTTATTGTAATGTAAACCAAATTAAACGAGATTAGAAATTCATGACTTCAGTACAAATAGGTTTGAAAGAAAATTCACCAAAATTCCAGAAAATTATTTAGTGATAGATTGACTTGTTTTGGCCTTGCCTATTTAGGCATATAGCCAAGATTAACATTTAACTAAGAATTTATTTAACTAGTTTATCTCTTAATAACGCTTATTACCTTCTTTGGCTTGGGCGAGGGCCTCAAATGTCCTAGGTATCGATTGAATAAGTGACCGGATTCGCCCTGTGAAACAGAACCCCATTCTTCAACAAGATCGTTTTGGAGCTGTTCAAAGCTTGTTGGAGGCGGCAAATGTCCAATCCGTCTCTTTATCATGACCCTTAAATGTTCTGAAGGATTCATGTCAGGATACTGGCCAATTCATTATGATAATCCTTACTTCCTCCTAGTAATGGGTAACACGAGCTACATGAGTTCGAGCATTATCATGTTTTAACACGAAGTTGTCCCCAATAAATGGAGTGAATAGGACCATAACTTCTAAAAGATCTCCCTCAATGTAACTTAGTGCAATCCATTCTGCATTATAATCAGTTCGATACGTGCACGGATGCTGATTCCACGCCATGACTGTCTTTTAAACGCATGGCACATGAAGCAAAGCATTCTCCGACGTCTTCTTTATACACGGTCCCGCCGTCTAATTGCCACAAATCAAACCTGCACTCAGATGTGAATCGAACAGTCCCCCATTGTTCACTTGTCCAAGAGAGATGTTGATTTGCCAATAGTTAACTCCCTTCGATTCCTCTCCAGTAGTAGAGAATGCTGGACATCTAGAGATAGGCAATTTTCACTAAGTCTTCTGATAACTGTTTTAAAGCTCACTATTGCATTACGGACCGTTTGGATTTGGCTATTCAAAGAAGACAAATGACGTTTCTGTAGTACGGCAAGAACAGGAAAATGATCGTTCAAACCACTACTTCTCTTCTCTTCGATCGAAACTTCCGATGGCCCTAAGCCGCTGTATACCAACCTAGTATACATCGGTGTATACATCAGGACTTGGGTATTGATCAAAGCATCTACCCGGACTAGATCTTTTTGACATAAAACCATGCTTTTCAGATTAAAAAATATTAATTTTTCCTCATATTCTTTGTTTCATCAAAGAAAAAACTTAACTCCTTCGGCAAGTCTAAAAAGTGTAAAAGGATTAGTACCACTATAAAGGTAAACAAGTTATTTTTTATTCGTTTTGAATCAACTATTAACGTTTATGTCTAGTTATTATGGAAAATATATATTTTTTATGTATAATTTCCTTTCATTGACTGAAACAATGACAAAGATCTTTTGATGGATGGAGAGACGTAATGTGGATAGCGAAATAACAAAACTCGTCTAACATACCCAAGGAGCATAAGCAAACCAAAATAATGAAATCATCGGTAATGACCAAATTAAATTGAAATTGAATTCAAACAAATAAAGTAATATTTGTTTGATTTAGGTCAAAAGAGAAGTATGTATATTAAAGCATTTCAACAACTGTGCACTAAAATTATCATCCAACTTCATCGTCCCTAAATCATGTTTAAAACAAAACGGTATGATTTGCAATGAAAAATATTCAAGAGCATATACAATATAAGCTAAAATTGAACAGTATGCAAACATCGTCGACCTCATAAAATTTGCAGTTAATCTTTCATCTGCATGTATACATTTCAAAATTCTCCTCCCATTTGATCAGACAAATATGCGCTATCGCATATTCACGAGTTTTGAATTTAAAAATAAAGATCGGCTTCAAACTCGTGTAATAACACGTTTTTATTTTCCAAAAAAGATTTCATAAATTTACCATCGAAAAAAAGTTTGTGTTGTGTTTTAAATATTAATGTAAAATGTAAAAGTGATTTTTTTTTTTTTGAGATTCTATGATATATATTTTTTGAGATGATATGATATAAAACCCGTAAAAGTTACACTTGGCATTATTTTTTATCAATTTATCAGCCAGATTTGTGGCATTCACCAATGGTTTGATTAATTTCAACTAACAAAAAATAGCTTTCCAGCTATGGTTTTTCAACTGCCTTGCATTTATTCTTTACAATAAAATAAAGATTGTTATATAATCAATAATGTGTGGTGATTAGTGACCGTTAATCGATAATTATTCAGAAATCGTGAGATGCGGTCTGGTGTGATGTAGGTTTCAGAAAAACATTTTCTTTATCGTGCCAACGTTTCGATCTTTTATTGAGATCATCTTCAGGGCCTGGGATTTACAAACAATGTTTACATTTAACAAATACATTTAGGATGTGGAAAAGTGAATTTATACAATGCAAAATATATTTTATATTCAAACAAAGTATTTCTACTCACTCAAAGTGTTTGTCTTCTGTGTAATTGTGCCATCCTTGCGTGTCGTGTTGAGAGTGCCAGTGAGATTTTGCTGTTTTATGTTTATATATGTTTGGTTTTGAAGGGGTGGGGAAGGAAGTCGGTATAGAAAATACATTTTTGTATAAGGCGTCGTCTTCTTTGAGGTGAAAAGAGCCGACGAAGGGACAAAATGTGTTGGTAATGGTTCGGCCAGATTATCCTTTCAGGATTATATAGAAAAGGATAAATAGGAAAAGGAAAGCTAAATTGTTGGACAATTAGACTATGTGAAAAATATTTGATGTGTGGAATGTAATGTGATGATATATGTATGTTATCTGTGTTGAATTTGATTAATGATATTGGCGTAGCTGCGACTGAGTTTACATGTAGCCGTTCTGTAATTGATGCTGTGTTTATCTCTGTTGATATAAACCGTTTCTAAGAAATTACGTTTATGTAATATTTTTGGATTTTTGAAGTCGAAATTGTGTTGGTGTTCATCAGATCACCTTCTTTTGTGTTATATCTATCATATTGGTCTGACCCAGTCTCTCTCAGACCAAGTTGATAAGTAACTATCAAGCAATAAAAACT